CACACCTTTGAAGATGTTAAAACTTTAGAGAGATAGATAAATGGTCTTATTGAATGCTAGAGAGTTTTGCATCTTCAGGAAAGACAGTACTCAATCGCATGTACATAATTTCCATTTGAGGTCAGACTTAGTTGTGTAGTATTAGCCTTTTTACTTTTAGGGGATTATATGCCCACAGCCTAGTCAGATCAGAACATGACATCTTTAAAACTTTAATCTTCTTTGCTGGGTCATACAGACAGTATTATAAAACGGACAGTGGTATTAACTGCTCCCTTCTTCTATATATGCAAAACTAAAAACATACAAACAAAAAAAACTTTAGCGAAGGACATACTTAGTGTTTTTTTACAAATTGTTTTACACAATTTTCACTTTTTTTCACATATGTTTGAATATTGGGTTACGGTTGTGTGAAATCATTTATGGATACACCTCAATGTCCAAGGTACCATTCCATCCAGGTATGACAGTAAATTGCTTGTGATAATCCATATAATTTTCACAAGAAAGTTGGATGAAAAGTCAGAAAAGAGACAATGTCCATTTTACTGGATTGTTACAATACAAGCTTCACTTTTGTTTATAGCAAATATTGATATATTGGGGTTAATTTACTAAAGGCAAATAGGCAGTTCACTTTGCAAGGGAATTTTCCCTTTGCTCCGTAAAGCTCTGACTCCCTTCAACCAATCGTGCAAGGAAAAATATTTTTTTTTCCCCTAGCTTGTGATTGGGTATACTTTGCAATGTGAACTATCATCACATTCACTAAGCTAAAGCAAAACCCCTGGAAAGTGAATGGCCTATTTGCCAGTAGTAAATGAGCCCAAAGTGTCTTGTTACATTATGAAGTAGAGAAGTCCAGGTAGAGAAGCCCCTGTCCACAGACCTGTAAAAGCACAAAGACTTTTTACAGAGCCAGCTTAAAAAAATAGAAAGGTAAACATACATTTTATTACATGCCAGTAAGCTATAAAAGCAGAATGATACACACAATATGTGCACCTACAGATTGTTTTCAAATTGCCTGTGTAGTTTTAAATGGACATTGAATGTGTTTTGCCTAATTTGACAAAGGTCTCGATTTTCCTTTTAATCTAAAATTCCAACTTATTCCTTTCACTCTTGTCAAGATTCGGAATCCCTCCATATAAGCCTAATACAAAGGACCAAGCTCATTAGACAAGCATAATGGTAGTCATGAGTTTTAGATAGTTGGTCACCTGTAGAGAAATTATTTCAAGTATTTGTACAGCACGGACATGCAATAATACACACCAACACTACATACATCAATTGACATCAGTTCCTGTCCTAGAAGAAGCTTACAATCTTATATGGCACCACACATTTATTAGGAGTCACGTACAAACCTACTCAACAGCCAACTTGGTCATAGGCCAGATAGCCTACCAGTATACTGCAAATTCAGGAGAACACCTATGCATACACAGGGAGGCCAGACAGCACTTCATGTATATACTAGTGTTCATGATATAGAGTCAACCAATGACCTCAGCACTGCTAACTACAGTAAAACATATACACATATTCAGAAGATTGAACTGATTTTTCAAGTTTAAGAAAGGTGGGGAACCAATGCCATTTTTTAATGCTGCACAGTTGTTTTTTCTTGCTTTTCCTTTCCTTTAATGGATGAAACATGACTGGATACAGAACATTTCACACAGGTATCAAGAACCGTTCAATGGTCAGTTGCTCTAAGCAAACGTACTTATGCTCTATAAATTGACTGTTTCTCAAAGCATGAGGCAAGCAAGAGGATGACTGCAAACTTGGTACTGTCAGTACCTGCTTAGCTAATATGTTTAACAATCAGACATATTATCCATAAACAACAGAAAAGGGTCAAAAGCCATGTCCACAAAAAACATAGCACTTATCACAAACATTATCTCTACTCTCATTGCTGCAAGAGGTACACATTTGTTGACAGCTTGCATTTGGCAATATCTTTTAATTAGCTGCTCCACACATCTTGCATAATAAATACAAGTTTGTATTTAGCATACAACTCAACCCTTCAACCCTTTGGGAAAACTGGACTCGAGTGCAGGCTTCAACTCTTCATTCCATGAACAGCATTCTAATTGTTCCACAAATAAGACCGAAAACTGTTTCACTTGGTCTTATGCAGAATTAGCAATTAAAGAAAGAAAGTCCATGGCAACATCAGAGCAGGTGATCCTTGCATAAACATGTATATGTGATTGCATTGTAAAGCTTCCAGTACCGTTTATCTTGTACATTTATTTCTAAAGTATTAGCTGTAAAGCTAGGTCCCTTTTTATACGCTAAGTTTGAATGAGCTAATTACAACGAAACAGCCTATTTTGCTACCTTTTGGAGCCTCAATGCATATATACAAAAAACGAACAAATAAAAAAATATTAGGATTATACAATATTAATCACATTTTGAATGGTTTTAAATATGTCTACAGCCCTAAGCTTCTTTGCAGAAATGGTTCATGGTCCACACTGACATCTTCCATCTGATGCCTCTGGGTTTAAATAACTAAGGAAGAAAATATTACTATTATTATTATTATTATTATTAAGTGTTAGTTTCAACCCTTTCTTCCATGTTGAATTTGAAAGTCTGGTCTAAAGCAGAACTGACCCCATGAACCACTAAACAAAGTGGGGGGTATTTATCAAACCTGGAGCAGACAAAATCTGAAACAGCTGTGCATGACACCCAATCAGCTTCTCTCTTCAGTTTGTTGAGTTAACATTTGAAAATGAAACAGAGACACTGATTGGTTACCATGCACAGCTGCTCCAGTTTTTGTCTGCTTCAGTTTTGATAAATTCTCTCCTCACGGTATATAAATACTCCTTACAATAAAAAAACAAACAACTCACTGTTTGTACTGCCCATGCCGTTGATCTCTACTGTAATGAGGATAAACGGATGCCCTATGAATTTTCAGAACCGGAGACTGGATCACTTGTCCATCTGGTGTCGTATTCTGAAGACAGGTGAATATTAACTACTTTCTTTGCAGGGAGAACTTTTTGTTCCATACTTATTTTAGGGACAGTTGCTTTAGCTAAATGAAGGATCAGTCAACAAAACTGAGGGTACTGGTTTGGCTGTACCTATGCAGTCAGCAGTGAAATACAGCCTTCACATCTGAATATTTCACCACTATATCTGTGTTCAGATTCAGTTCTGTTCTGGCTGTGTATGCAATGTTCTCAACAGAAATGTATTGTCCAGGTAGGATGGCAGTTAGGAAAAAAAAAAAAAAGTTTCAAAAAAGATCTATATATAATATATTGTAATATATGGTAAAATATAAACTTGAAGATGTAGGGGTGTATGAGAGCCAAAACTCAAATGGGCATAATATAGTTTAAAAAACAATGATGTTGTTTTCGTTAAACCTATCATGAAACAACACTCCTGATAATGTAAAACAGTAGGATGTTGTTTTGTTAGATCAGTGCCCAGAGAAGATGGAGTCTTCCTGTCAGATGAGGACCCCCTGCTTGGCACCTTGTATCCTAGCCAATGACCTCTCTTTGGCACCCAACACCTTAATACAAGTAGGAGCAAATTAACATAAATACCCCCTAAATTCTCCTGTAACAAAGTTGTTCACTGGCAGTCAGTTTAGGCGATGGTGGTCTTCATCTTCTTGTGTAGCATCAAGCTGGCAGAATGAATGGCAGACCAGTTAATGCTGCTCTTGCTGCTGCCAGAATAGAGCAGGCTTTTCAACGTGCTCAGCAGGCTCTTAAACGTGCTCCTCTTTTGTTAGCCAGAGTTCTGCTGGCTTGGGCAGGTGAGTTAACACACAAAAAAAGCAAACTTTCCTTCTCTAGTCTAGTGCCAACAATGAAAGCACCCTTATACAGGAGGCATAGGACCGATAGAGAAAAACGGTGAGAATTTGAATCTCTTTGCATAATCTTCTATAAGGTATAACATTTGTTTGTGACCATTGCAAAATGTTTTTCGTCAAAACAAATGTATGCAATTCTGAGCTTTAAGATGTGTGCGGAAGGTGGCTACACTACTACAACAACTAAATGCTTTAACAAGACATATACATAGAGCCCCACATATCTTTGTGTTGGGTTATGCTTCAAAGATCTGACATTTTCATGCATCTGCCCCAGAGAGAGGTAAACACTATTCTGGGAAAGTGATCCAAGTATTATGTAAAAATTGGCTACCCAGAGGCAAAAATGTATTATACTATTCTGGACCATGTTGCTGGGGATGTGAAAAGGTGGTCTGCCATCTTTATGATTCAGATATATGTACTTTAAGAAAGAAAGGTAATAATAGTAAAGGTATTTACTATTAATCTAAATTTAGGCTGCAACACACACCACATGCACAAAAAATAACACCATAAAACATATTTGTTGGGAAAAAAGGTTTAACTATCATGTTTTATTTAGGGTTCACATAAAAGTTCTGAAGCTTGGTTTACAATTATTGATTATACCTCCCTCTGTGTATCAGTGTTAATTTTCAGAACTGGACAGACAAAAACATAGTACCCGAGTATCTAAAAAATATAGGCTCATTTCTTCACAGTGGCCTGCAGAAGACTATCCTATACTGTCCAAAACGTGACTGATAAAAAACAAAAAACCCAAAACATACAGGATTATCCAACAAAGCAGCCCAATGAGCAAAGTATAGTGCAGTATCTTCTACCAACCAACCAGAAATCACTTCTTACCTAATCCGATTATAGTTCTCAAATCTGATTGGCTGCTGTGGGCTACAAAATTGTATTCTGCTTCACTGAATAAACCCAGTACAGTAACAGGTGGGATTTGCTGTAGAACAGAAATGTCCTGCTCCTCTTAAATACTGCATGATAGAGTGACAATTACAGCTATAAAAAAAGATCCTGAAAAAAATTATTGGTGACCTAAAGATCAGGCCTGCGATGGCCTAAAAACTCCGGATTCAGAGTGGGTAGACATGTAGTGGTTTCTGGGCATTTCTTTACCATGTACTTCTTTTTTTCATAATAAGGATGCTGCGTCTGAGACCACATAATCACTTCTACAAAGAATTCCTCACCAACGTACACCCTTTTAACTTTGTCCTTTTCTGATTTACTTAACATGGATTCAAAAATAGTGCTTGTAAAGATCTTAAAAAGCTGTTCACAAGTTTTCTTCTTCACGTAAAAACTGAAAGATGGACGAGAAATCTTTCTGAGCATAGCCCTTGGCACACATAAGTCTGTATATCTGATGAGACAGAGATCCCAGAGGTGTCGGGGTTTTAGTGTTTGTGGCAGAGTCCTGGGCCAAACCAAGATCCTGTAAAATAAAAATGATATTTTAAGTACAACGGTGAAAACAGATGATCATCATGTTTCATTTGGGTGCAAAAAATGAAAAAAGGGCCTCAGTCATGAAGGGGTTAAAAAAAACAAAACTTGCTTAATAGTTAAAATCAGAACTTCTGATAAATGGTATTTTGATGGTACTTCCTCTCTAGAGCCAGCTCTGTCCACCCCCTCTCTCCTGTATGTCCCTCCAATGAGCACTGGAGAAACAGAGAGGTGAGGGGGAATCCCTGTGGGAAGTGGTGACTAACAGTTCCCGCTCTCTTCAGGGAGGAGACCGTGAGTTGAGAGATCAGAGGTTTGTGATTGCTCAGCTCTTGATCTATAGAGCCGGCATGTGACAACTGCAGTGTCACACGCTAACTCTAAATATTGGGAAGAGTACATTTTACTCTCCCAATACCTTTCCTTTAACTCTAGTGAGCATGCACAGGTCTAGAAGTAGAAAAACAACAACTTATTCACAACATTTTACTAGATTTTTTCGGTCTGCTCAGTGAAGTCACAGGTCCTCTTCACCTTTTTCCTCCAGCAGTGGGTGGATCCTAAATACTGCAAAGCAGTACTACTCTCTACAGCGTTCTATGAGGCTGTAGAAGGGGTGGGGCAATGAAGCCCTGGGTTCCCAGGAAGTGGCATGAATGACGTTGGGCGTCATTTAACCCAGAAGAGGACTGAGGCTGGACCGTCAACTAGGTGGCTCTGCAGGGGACAGGGCAATAGAGTGAAAATGGCATCCGGAGTGGCTTTTTTATTTATTTTTTTGGGGGTAAGCGGTTTGTTTTTTAACATTGTATTTCAGTATGATGTATTCATTAGAAAAGCAGAATGCAAAAGGTAAATAAAGCAATTTGTTTTAGATCTGCCCAACAGTATAAATGATAGCACAAAGAATAGACTGCATCTCAGGGGAGACATTTGCATTCCATAAAAGGGTCACCTTAAGGCACGCATACAATTGACTTAACACTTTATTTACTTTCTCTTAACATATAAATCCATTGAATTTCTATCCACAATCAAAATGTAACACAACAATTTGCATAATAATATACCTTGGCCATAAGTGTTGTTCCAAATCCACCCTGGTAATTATTGGCAGAGGGCACGCCTTCCATCACCCCTGGTACAGGATTGTAGGTGTCACTTGACCAGCATCGTCCAGAGCTCATGTTCAGAATTTTGGCCAGCAGCTTTGGGTCAAGCCCTAATCTATAAAGGGTCAAGGAAAGCATATTAATGTTCAACTGCATCAGGACACGGGTGACATGTTTTACACACAAGTAACACAATGTCATTTTTCACTCTTTATTATGTGTCCAAAAATGGTGGAGTATTGATATGGGAGATAGAGTAAGCAATATAAATTAAAACCCATAAATCTCTCATACTGTTATTATGCTGCCTTGTTTACAGCTCTCATTATCAGATGCAGCACATATTTCAGAACTGCCTGGGTAGATTTTGGGGGAGAAAAATGTTCAGTGCACATTTACATATATAGTTTATGTGCTATATATTTCAGCTGTGGATTACTTGTTTCGCTATCATGCAAGGAGGTAAACAAATGTTTAATACCCTTTAAAAAAAAGCAGTCAAATAAAAAACATTTTCCAACTTAAAAAAAAAAAAAGCTTTAAGTGTGCCTAAAACCAAGAACAAAAATATATTATATTGCATCTTCATAGCCTTTAAATTTGGTGGCTGCAAAACTTCTCTTTTCAGACTTTTTTCCCCTTTATTTTCAACTGGTAATCCTGCCAATAATACACTTTGGGGGGAATTTATCAAAACGGGAGCAGACAGAATCTAGAGCAGGTGCCCATGGCAACCAATCAGCTCCTCTCTTCAGTTTGTTCAGCTAAGCTTTGAAAATTAAAGAGAGAAGCTGATTGGTTGCAATCCAAATCTCCTCCAGATTTTTTCTGCTCCAGTTTTGATAAATTCTCCCCTTTGTATCCTAGGGTGACATTGCTCGCTCACTCTACTGTATATCTATTGAGGATCAGCACCATCACCCTAGTCTGCTCATGCCTAATTTAAAACACCTTTTCTTTATCTCTATAAAATAGGAGTAGTTTATCGAGGTGAACTGGGCAGGGCTGCGCTACTTGAGATCTCAGTGCAGCTACGGCAGAATGCACAAGAAGTTAAAAGCTCACTGGATTTCTGGCAGGGTCGACAGGGTTTTGGGTTTTTGTTACACTTAACAAATTGCTTTTAATTGTGTATTTGACAGATCAAAAGGGAGAAAATAAGTGAACCTCATTGCCGGGGTTTACACATATTTTAAGAAATGCAAACCTAAAACTGGTACTACAGAAAAACAGGAAAAGTTATTTGCATACCTTCCAACCCTTTCAAAACTCCCCATCCTCTTATAGATGTTTTAAGCACTTCAAAATACAAAGTGCAAGTAATATTATTTGTAATGCTGCACACCACATGGCACAGTAGTGTCTTACAGTGTGTTGTGACACGCTGTAGAACACGTCCATTGGTAAGGTGTTAGGGTGCCAGCAGGAATGAACGCTACAAGCAAAACACACCATTTCTCATGTTGATGCAGGATGCAGTGCAACAGTGTAAACCCAGCCTAGGAATTAGCTACAGAGATGTTATATTTTGCCAAAAATGTAAACATTTAGAGGTGCCAGCAATGAACACAATATCTACTTTACAACATTTCAAATCTACATTGAAAAG